AATAAAAGGAAACATTTAAAGGATTACTCCGACAAATCTCTGATTGTACAAGAATACTCCAAAATCAATTAATTACATCATTACTCTAGTAATTGCCCTCTTTTTACAAAAGCACTCCACCCGCCACCACAATTGCACAATCATATTATATACTCCCTCCGTCCCAAATTAAATTGCCTGTTTACGGTTCACATGGTCAAACTTTATTCACTTTTTTTCTCTAGTTTTGTTAGTCATTTGATAAAATATAGTCATGTCACCACTAGTTTTGTAGATCTTTTGATGTAGTCTTAAAATATGTAATTTTTATTTTTAAATTCTACACCAATTTTCATATTTGAAAATAATTTTAGTCAAACATCGTAAATTGAAACAGGAAACTTAGATTAGGATGGAGAGAGTAAAATCTAAATGAATTTTTAAAGTGGTGGCTTGAAAAATAAATCACTTTTCTTATTTTCATAAAAAATTAAATTCCTTATTCCTCTAACTCAAATATCAATCACGTGTCTCACAATTAGGGCTTTTTCTTTTGGAATTCTAAAGTTGGATGCTTGAAAAGTTGGAAGAAGTTTGAAAAACTAGTGGGAAAATGTTGGCAAAAATAGTGTTAAAAAAACACTCATTAAATAATCACCCAAATAAATATGTAAGAAAACTAATATTTGCGTTGGAGGTGAGGAGCAATACCTAGTTAATTTTTTTTTATGAAAACAAAAAAAAGTGATTTATTTTTCAAATCATCACTTTAAAAATCCATGCAGATATTACACAATATGATTGTGCAAGTGAGGTGGTGGGTGGAGTGTTTTTGTAAAAAGAAAGCAATTGTGGGAGTAATGGTGTAATTAATCTATTTTCAGCGTATTCTTGTGAAATCAGAGATTTGTCGGAGTATTGTTGTAAGTTTTTCCAAAATAAAAAGGGCTGTTAAGTCCTTCATTTTTTACTTACCATCTATAGATACGGGAAGAATGATAATGGACGGCCCAAAAAGGAAAATGAGAAGAAAGATATAGGATGAAGGGCCTATTAAGGAAGGTATATTTGTTTTGTTATTACTTTATTTATCATCTATGACTTGTCACCTAGTAGACTGGGCATCCTGGCAGCATAGTTATCAAGGCGTCGCCTAGGCGACGTTAAGGCATCTGGGCGAGGGTTGGTGGACGCCTAATTGGTCGCCTAGCTTTTTTTTTTCCTGGGCGACTGTGTTGTACATGTTGTACAGTCCATCTCTGAGAAGCGTCTCCATTTTAGAAGCACAATGGAACGGAGGAGGAGATAGAGAGAAGACGGAAGAAGAGAGGGAGAGAAGACTTACCTTCTTGCTGATTATTTGTCGTGGTGTGGCTTAGGTTTCCAGATTTGCGACTCTACTGCCTCTTCCGATCTCTCTATTATTTAACTAGTGGACTAGGTCAAAAAGTCAAATAACTGGGCTAGATTAATTAATAGACTATTGGACCCACAGGAGTATAAGGCCCAAATTAAATAGGCCAGGCTTGTGTGTGTGTGTGTGTATATATATATTAGTGTTCATTTTAATTAATTATTTCATACTATATGCTTTAACATTAGTACCTATAAAATTATTATGGTCGCCATAGCCTACTCGCCTAGCGGACGCCTAGGCGGGCGCCTAATCGCCTAGGCGAAAGGTGCTCTAGCGCCCAGCCTCGCCTAGCCGCCGTAACAACTATGCCTGGCAGTTCATTGGTGCCGTGATAGCTATGAATACATTTTAGAGAAAAAAGAAATATAGCCTAGCTAGGGGGATTCTCAGGAATGGGTCAGTTATGGAAAGAATTTGAAATGTCAAATGTTAACAGGTTCTAGCAAATGAAGTTAACATTGGATATGAAGATATAAGCAATGAACAGGTAATCAAAGGAGTTGAGTTGAAATCTCTGCACATTTTGGATTTTTTTTTCTCTCACCCGTGTGTGGCCATTGTAATTAACTGAAATTGATTGCAGATCTTGAAGTTGAATGGCATTCGAATTAAAAATATCCACCATTTGGCTCATCTACTTGACTGTAAGCATTATTTATGCATTAATAATACTTCAATTTTTCCACCTTGCTTTGACCTTATGCACTCTATTTGTCCCTTGCACAGCTTGCGAGGACAAGTATCTAGTGTTCGAGTTTGCAGACAATTTTTTGGTCGTTCTGGAAAGGGCGGGAGCTTTAGCTGCATCTGCTAGCATCCTAAAAGACTATAGCATTCCATCTGAAAGATCTTCTGATCTTATGGGACCATATGTGGAATCAATAGGACATAATAATGCTATTTATCAACAAGAATTTGAGGATAGCCCCGTATCTAACTCTGAGTTCGGTTTTGATGGGCTTCTTTGGGCTTGAATATGTTGCAATGAAAGCAGACGTCATAACGGTTCCAGATTTGCATAGCTCTTGGATATCTATATCTTAATGGTGTAAAATATTGTTCATGTTACAACATTGGATCATAGACTTGTTTAGCATTCATTTGTATGGCAGTGCAGTTGTTTCTGGTACATAACATGGGACACCTAATGCCGCTGACCAGGTAACTAAGCCCATTTTGTAATTTCTATTCTCTGTGGCTTGAGACACAGATGATGGCCAGATGGGAGTGCTAGACATCTCAAAGCTTCCTATCATCATGTGGCTGGAAATGTAAAAAAAAAAAGATTTTTGCAGCTTCCTCCATCCGAATTGTTTTCATTGTTTGGTACTCCGAATGAGCCACTGTAAAAGCATAGACTGCTCTGGTGACCATTTTTTAATTTTCAAAATCATTTGAATATATTCAGGGTCCGTTTGGTACATGGATTTGATGGAATTGGAATTGAATTAGAATTAAAATTCCATGCGATTCAATTCCATAGAATTGAATTTCCCAATTCCAATTCATTTTTTGCACTACCAATTCCAAATCCACATTATTTTTGTGCTTCCAAACATGAAAATTGGAATGGAAGTTTTCAATTCCAATTCCACAATTTAAATTCCGTGTACCAAATGGGGCCTCAACGTTGAAAAATGGTGTTTTAGAAAAGTACGTAATAAAGTTGTCAAATTTATTTGGTGATAACATGAGTTCTATGATGTTCCTTTTGAACTTGTTTTTAGTCCGTAACACTCATGCTAATACTCAGAAAAAACATTGCAAAGGCAATATGATCAACTATTCATTGATGTGATCAACATAATTATTTTATAATTAACATATTTACACGAAACCATTATTTTAATTTAAATAGATTGGCCAAAAAGAAAATTACCACATGCATCTAGTAATATACAAACGAATTAAATTTCTATTTTTAAATGATACTCCGTATAATGTACGGAGTAAAAAACAAGCATTTAAAGTATTCCTCATAATTAATTAAACATATTTCTATACAAAAATTAAATCAACACATTAAAAAATGCTTGTTTCTCTAAAAAAAAAAGTCATATGAGCTTTCATTTTGCACTTTCGTGGTGGATAATGATCAAGTTTTGGTGCTGGGCAATCAAAAAATCAAAACCAGCTTCGAATATTTCGTATGAGCAAGTTATTTTTCTCAGAGATTATTGAAATCAAGTGTGTTTAATGTTGAATAATAACTTATGTTGATCAGAAGTTTATCAAGTTTACATTTTGGTCTTCCTCCCATTTCGCTCTCAAGGCGAGTGAATGAAGTCCCTCCATCTCCACAGATTGTAGTTTTGAGTTTTTTGAATACCATAGCGTTAATTAATAGCCCCATTGGTATAGTCATACTCAAAGTTTGTTCATTCGTTTCATTAAGTTATGATGTCAACAAAAGATATTTGTAGGATATCTCGCCGATTAGTGATGCGGCAACACTCACATTTTTCATGTTGTTGACAATCGACTTCAAAGAAATTTGTTTCACCGTTAGGCTCTTCACGCTCTAACGTTGTTTTGCGAGTTATATCAAGCAATGTACCTCTACATTACAATATAACGTCATGATTCCTGTGATATAACATCATAATAAATTTCAGATGTAGTGACTTAATAATCGCGTTAACGTCACAGGGATTCAACTATCGGTACTCTTCAATTGTTGTTCACGCTCAACAATGTTTTTAAGTCATTAGCATATACATTTCATTCTACGCGAGTCCTCTCCCCTGTCTAGAACGTAGTAAACACAAGAAGGTATACCCATAGCAGTAGTCAATTCAATTGTAGTGTTGTCGATGGTTTCCTTCTTGAGTGGAAAATGAAATTCTTCGACTTGTGGTCTCACCCCCAATTTTACTTGTGGACTCACTCCCAATTTCAGAGAATGTTAAGTTGTTAGGATATCATATGGGGGATCTTTTTTTACAAATTCGATTAGTGGCAGTTCTTCACAAATTCCTTACAGTTGTCTCTTCGATAACTTTTTTATTTGGTGCTTTCTCGAATAATTCACTTAGTGTGATTTGAATATTTCTGCTTGTGATTTTGGTCTTAGAAGATCTCACTGCCCATATCACGATCTTGTTAAGCTTCTAACCAAGCCTCGTCCGAATCGTCATCCCTAGGGATTTGCACAAAATTAGTGTAACTAGGGTAGACACATTCTAATTCAGTCCTCGCTCAAAGAGGATGTCATTGGGTAAGTAGCTTGAAAGGGGAGAGGGGTGGGTGTGGACGGGAGACAGTACTGGTATGGTAGGAGGGACAAGATAGGGCGTGGCAGGGGGATATAGATAAGGGGTGTGATGAGAGGGGGGGGGGTGGGGCATTTGGTTGTACAGGGGCGAGAGTAGAGGGTGAGTAAGTTTTTTTATATGAAAGTTATCAAAAATTATTTTTTCCTTGTTAAGAAAAAATATTTTCTTTAAAAATCTTTTCTTACCATTTATGTTACTGTAGAAAAATAAAATTGATTTTTTTAATTATACAATATTTTATTCCTAATGGAAGGCATCCTTATTTTATTTTGGTAGGATTTTCTCTTTACCAGTCTAATATACAAATGCAAGTTATGTGGGCCGATCCGAACGGGGAAGGACCCAAAAGTAGTTACTATATGGTTCCTGTGGCTACTCAAGATGTTCATCATTTGTGATCTCTTTGGCTAAATAGGAAGGCCATCCTCCGAAATCTCTGAAACTAAACCGATTTGCTGAAACAATGAATTTCTTCAAATCGATTTTAGCCGATGATCCGGATCCTACTGATCTGGAAAATCTCCGAGAGTCCGAACAGCATTCGCCATCTAGGCAAGACGACGTAGATCGCAGGGAAAGTGAGGTTGTCGATGATCCAGCTCGATATTTCGAAACAAGAGACGATCCCAATTCCAGCTCCAGTTCGACTACGGCTAATACTGGTGCTGGTGGTTGGAATTTTGGAGGTCTGATAAAGACTTTAGCCTCTCGATCCGAGTCTGTCCTCGAGACATACCGCAGGGATCTGGAGGAATTCGGGTCGGGTCTGAAGAAAGAGACGGAGCTTATCAGGGATGCCGCTAGCCGTGCGGTCAAGGAGCTCCCGGCTACAATCGAGGTGGGCGCGTCTGTTGCTCATGGTTCTTTGGGATCGGTTAGCAAAACCATTGATGGAATGTTGAAATCCACCGCTGAGATCATCTCTCAAGGTAAAGATACTCTTCTTGCACCTTATGATGCCGACCCCGTAACCCCTGATGCAAATAGGAGCTTGGATTCTCGTCGTTACAGTAGGTTCGATGCACAGCTGACCTCAATCCAGAGTGATCCAAATACTTTCACAGAGGAACCAGTTGATTCTGAAGAGTATGTGAAATGGAAATCGGAGTTCTACTTGAATGATAAGAGGGATGAGTTTATGTATTTGATCGGAGAAAATAATGTTCTAGAGGGTGTTTACAGAAAGCTTGTACCCAGTGCAGTTGATGAAGATACCTTCTGGTATCGGTACTATTACAGGGTGCATAAGCTCAAGCAGCAAGAGAGTGTTAGAGCCAACCTTGTGAGGAGAGCAATAAGTGTAGATGAAGAAGAAGTGTTGTCATGGGATTTTGATGATGAGGATGAGGCTAATAATGAGAAAAGCAGTAATGCAATACTAAACAGCAGCAAACAGGAGTCTAAACAAGCCGGAAGTCGAGACTCGTTGGAAACTGCAGATTCAATTACCGCTAAAAGTGATGAATTGAGAAATGTGAGTTGTGATAATGCGGATGAGAAGGGAGAAAGTGAGGCCAATGCTGATAGTTCTGATAAGGATACTGATAAAATTTCAAATACAGCTGGATCCAGTGAGATAAGTTCTCCTAAAGAGAAAGTAGAAGATGGAAAAAGTTTGGACCTGGCCGATGATGCTGCATTGGTAAGGTCAGTTGAGAAGGGGTGTTCAGAGGGGGAATGTAGTGATCATGGAGCTTCTGGTAAACACAAGATTGTTTCTTCTCAGCAGAGTGTGCAAGAGGAAGAGGAAGATTTTGGGTGGGATGAGATTGAAGACATTGAGAGCACTGATGAGAAAAAAGTATCTTCTCATGTTCAGAGTGCAAATAGAGATGAGGTGAGGAAGAGGCTTGCTGAAGAAGATGATGAGAATTTGAGTTGGGATATTGAAGATGATGATGAGCCTGTTCAAGCTTGATTCCTGGCCAATGCCCTGGATGGCAGAATATTGATATTTGAGATTCTCACGAGTCTTGAAATGATGCACAGCAAGAGCTTTAGGCTCAAGACGACGTGCCTTTTTGAGAGCTTCTGTTTGTGTATTTCCCCTTTTTTTAGAATCTTTTTTCATGTTCAATTCTGTCATTAGTAGATGTTTGGTTGATTTTCCCCTTCCGTTGTCTAAACAAATTGTCCGCGAAGGACCTGTCCTCTTGTCTTCAAATGATGATCTGATCTAAATCTCATGGAATTTTATTATAGGTTTGGCTTATCTGAGTGTAGGACCATGCTACACTTACACCAAAAAATATACCCCATTTATACACCACATGTTTGCACAGACATTTTGATGGTTTACACCGACACAAGTGTTGGTGCGTTAATAAAAAATCACACGGACACAAATGTTGGTGCATTTAACAAAAATTAGTTTTACACCAACACAAAGAGTTGGTGCAAAACTGCGGGGTACAAATTGGGGTACAACCCTTGGGGTACACATAGCATAATCCATCCTTTTAGTGTATCATAGTCTTGTATGATCTGATTTCAATGTACTGTATGTGATTTAGTCTAGTTGTTTAGGTTGGAATATTAAAGACGTCTTGACTAGGGGTGATTAATTTAACCAAACGGACCAATTAACCGATTCATTTTAACTAAATCAACCCCATGCTTCCATGAGTTTACATTCAATGTATTATGAATTATCTCCCTCTTCCCCTGCTTATATAATTAGGCCCTATGGCTATTGTAAACAATAAATCTTTGAATATTAAAACCTTGTACTCTTTGAATATCTTAAAATAGTGTTATGCTATTTTAGCCAAATTCCTAATTCTATCTTAATAGTGTTTATCTTAAGTGTGACTTTTAGGTTCTATTTATTTGGATAAGTGTGTCATATCTTATTTGAATACTAGATTCAAACTCCAAGTTAAGATAAGAGTGTTAATATCTCTTAAACACCAACTTGGGTTATCCATCACCTTTCTATCCATTTCCTCCCCACCATTTATCTCCTCTACCCCCTTTCTTTCTTCCTATTAAAAATACCAAAAGAACTCCTCCTTCCCATAAACACCACCTTTCCTTCCCGCCCAAAACACCATTCTTCATTTTGGAAAACTATCATCGATTATTGCAAGCTGATAATCGATTATCAGCTGTCCTGCAGTCCTTGATAGTCGATTATCAAACCTGAAAATCATTTATTTAGCTCCTCTAAAATACAAAAAGTTCTGATAATTGATTATTCAAAACTGATAATTGATTATCTAGCTTTCTTGTCAAACGAGAAGTTCTCTCCTTGAGTAATAATCGATTATCCAAAGTCAGAATCGATTATCAAGCTTCTTTGAAAACCAAAAAGCTTGGTTGAATCAAACTCCTTTTCTTAGCTCGGGCATAACGTCATCCCTTTGTTCCGCCTCAAAGAATAACTTGTTTATACCCTCGGTCTTGGATATAACATTTCGTATCAAAGCTTTGCGTTGAACATCCTTGAGGGGTCATCTTTACACGCCTCCCTCATCTCTTTTGTTACTGTTCATTTCAGCCAAACACTCTTCAAGCCATATATGCATCTCCCAAACGTATCAACCATGCCAAGCTCTTCTCAAAACATGTCTCAAGGTGAATTAGATGCTGCCCAAGAGAAACTAAAGAAGGAAGTTGAGATTGTGATGAAACAAATCAAGGAGCTCACTAATTTAATGGACATTCCCATGTTTGAAGGAAGAAACGACCTGGAGATGTTCTTGAAATGGTTAGCAAAAGTTGAAGACGCATTTACACTCAAAGATGTACCTGAAGACAAGAAGGTCAAGTTAGTGGTGGCAAAGTTTCAAATACATGACTCTACTTTGTTGCTAGGAAGCTTTCCTTAGTTTACATTCAATATATTGTGAATGATCCCCCTCTTCCTCTGCCTACATAATCAAGCCCCATGGCCATTGTTAACAATCAATCTTTGAATATTAAAACCTTGTACTCTTTGAGTATCTTAAAATAGTGTGTTGTTATTTTAGCCAAATTCCTAATTCTATATCTTAAGAGTGGTTATTTTAAGTGTGACTTTTAGGTTCTAGTTATTTGGATAAGTATTTCATATCTTATTTGAATACTAGATTCAAACCCCAATTTAAGATAACAGTGTGTAATATTTCTTAAACACCACCTTGGTTTATCCATCACTTTCCGAGCCATTTCCCCTCCCACCATTTCTCTCCTCAACCCCCTTTCTCTCCTCCTATTAAAATATCAAAAGAACTCCTCCTTCCCATTAACATCACCTTTCCTTCCCGCCCAAAACATTATTCTTCATTTTCGAAAATGGCCGCCAATAATCGATTATTGCAAGCTGATAATCAAGTATTAGCTTTCCTGAAGAGCCCTTGATAGTCGATTACTAAACCTGATAATCGATTATTTAGCTCCTATGAAAATCCAAAAGTTCTGTTCCGAGAAGCTGCACCACTTGATAATCGATTATTCAAAAATGATAATCGATTTTCTAACTTTCCTATCAAATGAAAAGTACTCTCCTTGAGTAATAATCGATTATCCAAAGTCACAATCGATTATCAAGCTTCTTTGAAAACTGAAAAGCTTGGTTGAATCAAAATCTTTTTCTTAGCTCGGGCATAACGCCATCCCTTCGTATCGCCTCAAAGAATAACTTGTTTACACCCTAGGTCTCGGATATAATAGGACGGATCCACTCTCTTCGTATAGCAAAGGACAAACTCGATCTCATGGTAGACGCCAACCTCAAACCATTTCTTGCCTTCGTCATCAGTCTTTTGCATCAGTCTTTTGCAAGCCGACCTCAGTCTTCCTCCACTCATCAAAGTACTTAGGAAAATTTTCCACCAACACCTCCTTGAACACAGGGGACTCCACAAATTTGGCCACAACTTGCTCTTTCTCGAGCTCAGCCAAGTTCTGCCGAGGGATACCCTCCGTAAGCTCAATATCTAAATCAACCCTCTTCTCTTGTGACTCATGGAGTTTCTCCTTAAGGCCAGCCACCTTTTCATCATCGTCGCGCTATTGGGCAGCCATCGAACTTATGAGTTGAGACATGGACTTCTCCGCCTCTTTCAGCAACCCCTGCAACTTGATCTCCTCTTCAGATTTTAACATGGCCCAGAGCTGAAGCTTGGACACTTGCTAATTATGGGCCTTGGCAACCTTCTTTAGGCGGCCAAGCTCTGTCTCCGTAGAGGATAAGAAGTTGGCCCCTGAGATGAACTACGTACTAAATCAGCGAGCACTAATGGCGTCCAACTTACTCGTCGCATACAAAACACAGGGTCAGTCGGCGAACAGAGACTAAGAAGCTATCATCTATTCATCAACATTACTTCTTACCTCCTCCATGCCTTGTTTAGAGTCTTTTGCAAGAACAAAAGAATATTGTCCTCGTCCTTTAGCGAAGAAGACAAGAACCTAGCCTCGGCCTCAGCGTGACCATCACCCTCCCCACTAACAGTTCCTTGGGAGTAGACTTCCCGCCTTTGGATTTGGGCGTGCACTCAACTAGGAGTGTCTCTAGTGACCCTCCTCCTCTTTGGTATGCCGCCTGAAGCTTGGGATGGGCTAGGGATAGTAACTAGAGTAGACTCGCAGAATTTGGGAGCTCCACTCGGTAACTAGGAATTTTTCCTTCACTCTGAGCTTGGGACGAGCCTTGGTCCATCCGCTTCCTCATGGTACTAGCACGATACATTTCAACTGAAACGAAAAAAAGGTTAGCATTTGGAGGATACTTGTCAAATAAGGAAGATAAAGGAACAAGACAAACGTTCATCATTTCTGTCTTTGGAGGACAAATCGGCATCACTTTCCTCCTTAAGATCAGAAGGATGCACTTGCTCATCCTCGATCTGCTGGTCGTTCTTGGCCTCCTTGAATTAGACTCCTTGTCACCCAACCTGCCAGCGTGTGTATCTTCAAGGCCTCGCCTCGGTCTTCCCCCCCTAACCACCCTGGCCAGCTCATATTAGGGGGGTGAGCAATCTTAAACAAATAACTAAACAGATCTAGAGACCAAGCGACCCTGACACTTGATCAAAAAGACAAAAAAACAGTAGTAGGAGTGGGGAGTGAGCTGACCCGGGAGAAGAGAATAAAAGTTCAAGTACTGCATGATCAAATGGTGCAGCGAAAACCTAAGGTCGTACCTCATCGATGCCACAGGAACTCCGACCTCGTCATAGGGACAGGTTATGGGAAAAATGTGGTTCGTGGGATGAGGCCGGCGAATGACATAACCCTCCCCCACTAGCCTAAGGGCTTTATTAAAATCGACATCTTAGAGCTGGGAACTCGTATTTATGATCACGACAGTCTCCAACGTCGTAACAGGCAAAGGCTTATGGTTTCGTCCGGTTTTGGTTTTGGGCTTAGAACGACGAGAAGTTTTGAGCGAGGGGACGCTTGAAGATGAAGCCACAGTGGCCCCCGTGTTGAGCGGCACCACGCTCATGATCGGAAATTGTCCAGCCGCCCCCTCAATCTAGCGGTGTGGAGAAGCGGTTGTACCATATACATCTCTACAAAACTCTCCGCTGCCAAATCGCAGTTAGGCGCACCATAGATCCTTAGACCTTTGCACGTACTTAGGCTGAGCAGTGGGGGACTGCTCATACTTGGCCAAGAATTTTTTTCAAACTTCCACTTCGAGATTTTTGTACTTCTATACAGCCTCGACACACTCAACCTAACCTAGGAAGTGGGGGACTCGTGATGGATACCCTGGACTGAGGGGTATCTAGCCCAACAAAACAAGTGGCCCAACAAGGCCCATCTAATCGCAGGAATTAGACACGCTCGGCCAAAGACGCCTGCTCAACAAAGCGGGAATCAGATCCTTGCTCGGCTGTCTTCCAATGCCAGAATATGTGCACTCATTTTTTGTACTCGACCTCTGCCGCCAACAAAGCACTGTGGACCTACTACGAGCGCGGGAGCATGTATGCTCTTTGTAATCAAATGGGCCCACACCTTGTAGCCACCCTATTTGTAATCATATTTCTTGTATTGTCATTCAAAAGCAAGCATGCTTCTAGTGGGCCTAGCCCACCAGGCTATGTCCTACACAAACAGCTAGGAAGCACACGCATGGGAAAATGTATTGTATAAATACCACTCTCGTGAAGGAGGGAAGACACGTTCACATTTTTACTACTCTTGCGATTGAAAGAAACTCAGCCTTTATTCGATACTCTTCTACCTAGTCTCTTAGGTCTCGGGTCCTAAACCCCATCAATGTGGAAGGGATTTCAAAATTTAAAAAGAGAAAAACACTACAAGAAAAATGATCTATAGTGTGAGTAAAATCCACAGTTAAAACCCAAAAAACCGTCATTAAAACTTTTTAATGAGAGGAAATTTACTCTCATCGACCGTCATTATAGCCTCCGTAGCTAATTACAAGTAATGACAGGCTACAAGTACTCTCCTTAAAATTATTTAATGAAAGTATTTTTACCTTCATCAAAATACTCTTTTTATGACAAAAATTCCCGTCATCAATACAATTATTAGTTATAAGAATTATATTTTTTATGATTAAATATATATACCATCATTAATATATATATATATATATATATATATATATATATAGAGTATATATTTAAATAATATTTTATTAAAATAAGAAAAGATAAATACAAGAGCATGCTGAGTAATGCCCAAAGCAAAATCCAAAAAAGAATTATGCCTTAATATATATATACTCCAAATATGTTGGTACAAAAAGACTAAAAAATCTCAACTCTACTGACAGCTATATAAGCTCAGGATCACAACCTAGTCCAACAGCATATATGAAATTAAAAATTACACTCCAAATGCTAAGTTCCAGGGCATGCTGTGGTGGGAGAGCAACATTCTATGGTGGGAGAGAACAGAAGGGGTTGCTGTTGCTGATCTCCATGTCATATGATTCTTTTGCAGATTTCATTGCAAGACATAAAGGAATAGCACACTTCATTGCAAAACTTCAATGCAAAGTTTTCTCTTACCATGGAGGCCAAGCATCCTTAGCTTCTGTGTCCATTTTGAGGCTAGCTGGAAGAATAGAAAAAAACTAACCATACCATAAACTAATAAACTACTTGATAGGCTCACAAGTTAAGATTCAGGCTCGGTGAAAGATAGATCATAGTGAGTACCTCTGATCACGAACCACCCATCTCTGGCCAACTCCAAACCTGACCTCCATTCCATTCATTGAGCCAAAACTGCCACTTTTATCATAATGACATAATCTGCTGGCTTTTTCCTTCAGCCAGTTTGGCCTGAAACTATAATCAGAGTGTCACGTCATTATTTAAGCTAATTTCTTTCATTCGTTCTTTATTTCATTTTTCCCCTTTGAGATGTTTAATGTGAACCTGGCTGCTGTTTGGTTTGCCGGACATATCAGAGCAAATGCACGTTCGTGCACACAAAAAACCATCATAACCTAAGCATTCTTTACCTGTAGTTTGTATGAGCGAGCATCGGAACCATTCCAATCGCCCTGGCCACGAAGGTGAAAAAAACAAACAAGAATAATCAAAGGATGCAATCCTCAGAGTAAGAGTTAATGTTGCAGTCACACCATGGATGCCACAAGTTAAAAAAGTGAAAAAAGATGTAACTATTTTCCTCAAGAATATACCTAGCTACACACACCTCATCACCAGCTGAAATGCCAACTGATGGGCACCGCGTACCTTTCTAGAGCATTAGAAAGCATTCTCAACAAAATAACCACCTGATTTAAAAAAGATCTACAAGATGTTGTGTGCATGAGCCAACAAAGTAACCACCTGATTCAGACAAGCAAATAAATGAAGAAGCAGTAGCCATGATGTGTAATACTAGAGGGCTGATCTATGTACTATTCAATGATCATTATTTGGAGTAGATTGCAGACTACAAATAAGCAAAACAGATTTTTGAAGATGGATACACGATGCTGTGTGTGCCAACAAGTTCATGAAGACATGGATGATATTTTGTGGAAGTGTTTCTTTGCTATACAGGTTTACAAGCGAGTGTTTTAGAACCTGAAGGTGCACATTATTGAAGCTGATTATAAGAATGTAGGAGAGGCTATTATGAAGATAAAAAACAAGGAGAGACAAAACTCTAGCTTTTTGGCCATTGTGTTGCTATACATCATGGGGGCAAGGAATCAAGTCATCCATAATGACAAGATTAATACTGAAGATATAATATCAAGGCATGCGAAGCTTCAAAAGACAAACTTACCACCCAAGGTGTCCTGCGATGGCCACTCAACAACTTTAAGCATTTCCCAGCTTCGGATTCTATTATCTTCACAATATGATCACCACTGGCATCATATATAACCAAAAATCCAAGGTCAATATGTAAAACCGTGTGAGTCCAAATGGGAACTTAAATTAGGGACGAAGAAAGTATAATAGTAAATATAAAGACACACTCACATATACATCACTTTGATAAAACTGCCCTAATGTTTATGGTAGTGAGTCAAAAAAGGTTTTGAAGGAGGCCATGAGAAACAAGAACCCATAACTGCAAATTGAAAGGTGGATTATATTTTAAACCAAGACAAGCATAATATAAATATACACATACCATTCTTACGATATGGGGTGAAAGGTGGGAACTTACTGAGTTGATGCAAGGGTTTTCCCGTCTAGACTAAATGCTGCTGCAATGGTAGATCAAGGGGGAGGCAGAAGGGGCCAATACTTGGCTAATAAATTCTGTAATAATTCTACCTCTACCCTGCAATAGTGGAAATAATCTATATCAGTAGAAGGCCAGACTAGTCATACATACAATACGTATAACAAAAATTTAGTATGTAAACTGTATGTATCAGTTACCATGATATAAGACCCCTTTTTGCAGAAACAGTACCAATGAAATAATAAAATGACTTCTTTATATCATACCTGAAGTTTAGGCATGTTATAGTTGATAATTCTTGTGAGATTTATAAGCATTATAGAAACAAAAGACGTTTGATGAAGGGCACGCTCTTTGTACTATGGGACAATGTGAAGCATCTGCATAAAAAGTATTTCATCTACATAGTATTCAATTAAGTAATAACAGAGAATATGAGAGTTCAATTACCAGTCCGTGTATGCTATCACTGAAAGAGGAATTTTGACTGAGTATAAAAAGGTCGATTAGGACCACCTCAATAGGTTAAATATATTCATTAGTAATTAATAAACAAAATATGCCTCCGCCCCTCCCCCTACCGGCTTCTGTTGACTTTGGTTCGATTCCTTGACTCTCTTTTTATAATGTATTTTAAATATAAAAATTTTATTTCTAATTTTACTGAATTACTGTACAAAAATTTTTGTATGTGGGTGTAATCTATTTAAAGAATTTGGTCAATAAGTTAAAAAAAGAGGGTAAAAAAGAGAGTCCAACATGTAGTATAGGAACACGTTGTTCTTAATACTAGAACTATATAAAATGGCTGGAACAATTTGTCTTTTATGCTAGCTTATGCCAAATAATTTCTGAAAATATTATTAAAGAAAAACAATGCCTTTGCTTAAAGAAAAAAAACTGGTTGTGTCAAAAACTTCAGTCGCTTCTGCTTTCTTTCATAGTCTCATTTTTACAGTCGATGAAGAATAAGAGATGGTTCTGGGGTTTTAGTTGAATTGGGATTTATATAATTTGATCAAAAACAGCCCAAAATTCTATACCTTATTCTCCAAATGTGAAGTGAAGCACATGGTTGTTTTCATTGGGAGAACCAGAGAAGTAGAAAACATTGAAGAATTTTTTTGACACAGTGCTCTGAGAAGCTCTCAAGGTGTGTATGTAAACCATTTCTAATTACTGGCTTGTTTTTCTTAGTAATCCAGTTTGTCAAAACAGTGATTTTCTGCCCACAAAGTGTGTTGCATTACTACAAAGTGATTTTCTGTCAAAACAATGATTTTCTGCACACAAAGTGTGTTGCATTACTACCAAGTACCACCCAAAAGCCAGCTTCTAAAACCCAAAAGGCTGATATTGAAAACCTAAAACCAGTACCCATAAACCTAAAAGCATCCCCCCAAAAGCAAGCTGCTCAAAGCACAGATGTTGAAAAGCAAACACGAAAACCTAGCTGCCAAAATAATCATCTCCAGGACTATAAGTATCTCCAAAATAAGCATATGTTGAAAACCTAGCTACCAAAATAAGCAGTCCCCTCTAAAACCTAGCAGCCAAAACCAATACAAAAACCATCCACCTTAAAACCAGATGTTGAAAACCAAACACGAAGTACTTGGCCAGTATTAAGCCACCTTAAAACCAGAATTAAGCCAGTACAGAAGCTAGTAATTTCATAAATACAAAGTATTCAGGTTGCTCAAGCAAATACAAGAAAAACATTCAGGAATGGCCACAAATGCTGCCATAGAATCAAACTTCATAACCCAATTGATGAACAAATTGCACCAAAGTTTATAAACAGAATGGATTCAAACCAAAGCAAAGACAAATATTATGGATCATTGAATAAGAAAGGCGATAAGATGCTCAAACCCTCATATAAAATTAACCAAGATCATCTGGGGAAAACATTAAACATTATAACCTGATTTGGGAAGAAAATTACCTGGATTTGAGTAAGCGAAAGACAGGGAAACGAGTGGCGGATGGAGCTTTTGTCCCTCTGGTCGAATCCCTAGAAACAGCAGGGAAAAACTAACAGAAATCTATCTCTGGTCGAATACCGTTGGTCGTTGGAAGGAAGTGGCTGAGGGAGAGCTTTTACGCAGGTGGCAGGACTTTTGCACGGGATTGAGAATCTTAGAAGAGAAGATCAAAAATTTTCTCCAAAATTTTCACCAAAATACTCCTTGACAGCGAAGAGGGAAGTTAGGCGGAAATCCCAAAATTTTCACCAAAATACTCCTTGGCGCTATATTGTTTTAAGTGTATTTTTTAAGGAATAAGTATTTCTCCCTAAAAAAATATTTCATTTTTTAATATATTTTAGTTTGGCCAATTTAGAAATACATAAATATTTAATGAGAGTATTAACTTTAAAACAAAAAAATGAAAAAAAATTGGTCACTAAAAGTAACACCTTTTAACTAGGGTTTTTTCCCCTCATTACAAATATACAAATAACACATTTAATGAGAGTATTATCAGCCCGTCATAATTGATCCGTAACTAAAAGTCATTTTTCTTGTAGTGAAAAGAATTTCGGCATATTTGTCTTTTTCAAATTGTTTGCCGGCTATTGTACGGAAAATAACTTGGGGGCGAGTGTGCATACTTTAGAAACAATAGGAATTTTAGGAATAAATATTGAAAATATGGGGGTTTTGGTGCTTAATTTCCAAACCAAGGGGAGTTTAGCACTATTAGGCCTCTATAATAACCCTGATTTGGGCGGAAGAATTCACCTCTTTTCTTTTTGCTTTGTACTCCATCCCTCCCCTCCCTGAGTATTTGTCCACTTTTGACTAGTTTCAGTAAAAATTGGTAAGCTTTGACCTCATATTAAATAAAAATGATATTAGATATTGATAAAAAATAGTTTTATTAGATTTATTATATGAAATATTTTCAAAATGTTATTTTATCTAATTAATAAACAAAATATATTTTACTTAATTAAATGTCAAAGGTAAAAAATAGTTCATTGAAAAAAGTCAAAATTGGATAAATGCTTAGGGACGGAGGTAGTATATAGGTAGAGCTAGACTAGAACATTAATGTTCTAATTAAAAAAAGAAGAAAGAACATTGTGTCGGCCAATGGAATGATACTCCCTAAATTTTTTATATTTAAATTACATGTATTTAGCACTTGTACTAAAAACACATGTATTTACAAAATTAATTTGTTAAAAAAGTGATAATTCTTAAAAAAAAACTACCATCCGAGTTCACCCCTAATGTCGTCGCCTTTATTGTTGCTACCACTGTCACCGCCGCTGCCTTCGCAATCTACGAAAATTTTCATCATCATCGTTGCAGTCTGTTAAAAAGAATTTAAAAAAAATTATTAATATAGTACCAAACAGAGCCATAATATTAAAAAAACACACAACTCATGATCACATACACTGCAAACAAATGTGCTATACAATGCCAAATGATGTAAAAATTTTAAAACAACTCCAAAACTACTATGATTTGGCAACACACAATGCCAAAAGAATAACTTTAAAATTCTTTATTTCTGATGTAATACTGTAATTTATAAATGCATTTAGTTTTTTTATCGTATTTTTATTTTTTCCATTTTGAAATGGGGGAGGGTTCTAATCATAAAATATTTAAAAAAAAAAATTATTGTTTACTACGGAGTATTAGTTATCAACATTTTGCATCCTCAATTTTGTAACCCACTATAGTAGTGTTTGTGCAAATGGATAAAGCCATTTTGTACGCAAGTTTTTGTACCCCGCTTTGTACCTGCAGGTTTGCACCAACATTGTGTATTGGTGGAAAACAAATTTTAATTAATACATCAACACTTTGTGTCCGTGTAAATTTTTGTTAACACACCAACACTTGTGTCGATGTAAACCATTAAAATATTTGTGTATAATTGCGGGGTACAAATGAGTTACAATTTTTGGTGTAAGTGTAGCATGGTTCTTGTGCAAATACATCACGGCCTTTGTGCATATGCGGAGTATAATTTGCGATGAAAGGTATATGAATACTCCGAGGATTAACAAAACTCAAGATAAACCATGGGGAAATCAAGTTTCTAAAAACTACTATCACCGAAAACCCAAATTTGGGTTTGCCTAGAATAAATGCAACAATACAAGTACCCAACATTCTATAAAGTTTTATACAATGGCTTGATAATAAAAAGGATGGTGGCTATCTATAAGAGTTTGATCTCAGTTCTATGATGGCATCTTTCCTTCACGTGCAAAACTCCTGGTTGTCGAAAATTTCCCAATCATCATCTGCAGTAACATCTTTATGTTCACCATCTCTGGTTTGACTCGCACTGCCTAGCTCCTCATGTTCATCAGATGAATTGATAGGCTCAGCTGCTTGGTACGCCGGCTCAGGTGTCATAGTTTTTAAAGACGAATTTGAAGATGCTAAAATGCAGCTTGTCTGGCCAGAAGAAAATGATTCACTCAGAGGAACTCCATTGTCAAATTTCATTTTTAGCAACCTCACATCCTGACATATAACAGATATCTCTCCTCTGCAAAAATAAAAAAGGAATTGAAGAAATGCTTAGTTTATTCTTGAAATCCGCAAAACAGAGAGAATTAAGAGTTCAGGTCCCCTCCATATACGGAAAACACTAATCCAGCATAAAATCTAAATCAAAATTAAAGGATATATCCATTGTGTTCATCTTTGCTATTTTCTTCTAAGTCCAGATGGATTCCCCCTTAGACGTGTTTATCTTTTAAAAGATAAAAAACTAAAAATACTTACTGCAACATATCTACAACACGTCCACGATCAACAAGGAACTCCTGTAACTGAAATGGAATAAAAGCACACCAAAATATAGGTTAGCTGTACTTCAATCAAGCACTTCCAATTAAGGATCATGCATGCACATGCACACACACATACGCGCGCACACACAAGTGGTCCTTACTTTAGAATTTTCTTCGGCCTCTTGCTTCAGAATGTTTGATTCACGGACTACTTTCTCCATAATAAGTTCTTGTTCAGCCAATGCATTCCGTGCAAGCTCTTCTTTTTGCATTTTTTCATACTCAGCAGCTTCCCTATTCCTCTTGGCAGCATCTAGACGTACCTCAAGAATTTGTCGCATCTATTGAAAGAAGTTATACGGTCAGATAAAATATATTGCTGCTATAAAATGAAGGCAATAGGACATGTCTGACTCTATTTTAAAATACAGGAAAATCACAAAATCCAAATAAGCTACAACCCGGCAGAATGACAAGATTCCTGTGACAAAGCTAATTCTAGTTTACAATCTAAGATACATTTTTTGATAAAATACTCCTCCAACATCAGGAAAGAGTACAAATTATAACACATCTAAGCCTTAATACCATGCAACAAAACGTCATCACCTCATCAAGAATAGCAAGAGATTTATCCCTTTCATCTGCCAAGTTGAGAAGGCGAGACTGGAGCTCTTTCACCTCTGTTGCCAAAATAGCCTTCTCACCATACACTTCTCCAGCATGCTGCAACAAGAGAAATGCAGCTCATGAATTCCAGAAGTAATTAAAGACATTATTATATCAGCAAGACTTCAATTTGTTTTAAATGAAAAGCAACCATGTCATTTGCTTCCTTGGCGTGTTTCAGCATTTCTTTCAGATGATCCACTCTCTGAAGTATGCCATGTCCCCCAATAGCAGATTCCTCATCTGCCTGTTCTACAGCTTTCTCTTGATGGTCAACCTCCTTCATTAAGCAGATCAGGGACTCCATAGCAGCAAACATGGTTTTCTGAAAAACAGTACTAATTATACTTAATGCCAATAAATCATAAAATATACTCAAGCTTTGATTGCAATAAACCTGTGTGTGAATTTCTACCTATATATGTGTGTGCATGTTGTAGGGTAGGGGGAGAGAGGGAGTAACTGTGTCTAAATGTATATGACCGAAGACAACCATAGCTAATAGGATCAAAACCCTTAAATGTAAGAATTAAAAACAAGAAAAAGAAAACCGTAGCTAGATTGTGAGCTGACAAGTCTTCTGTGTATAGGTGGACCATGTGTGGAAATCCTTGAAATATGCATGAGTTAATTATTTGTGCTGGATAGCACAATTTCATATTGTAGGTAACTAGGTTTCAATAAATGACAAATTGATGATGATGTAATGGCAAGGTGAAGACTGAAGATACAAGTAGTGTAATTCATTTTGAAAGACTCAACCAAGAAAACAAAAACAAATGATCAAGAAAGAAATCAATGCCGAAGAATCAAAGACTTAGTTTGTAATATTTGTAAGATTTCTTTGTAAGAGTAATACTTTCTTAATTTTTCATAATAGCTCAAATCAAATCAATTTTAGAAAGGGTTTTTAATTTTATTTTAAATAGTGTTTCAGCTATTTTAAATTTTTCTCTAAGCCATTACACCCTTTTAAAATGTTCATTTAGTTTTTTGGTTGTGTGAATATTTTTTTCAAAATTGCAATTGAAACATGCTAAAATTCTAGCCAAACAACTGATTGTCAAGTCGTCGACCAAAGAAAACTTTTTAGCACGGACCCATCCTGCACACAATTGATTGCCATGTTTGAAACAAGTTATTGTAAGTTTTGGTCCTTAGAATGATTTTTGGCCGAAGGTTCCAACAATCAATTGTCAAGTTAGCCATTAGGCCACAACGGACAAATCTTGAACTTACAAATGATTGTTTCACTAGCTGATGGGGTTCAAGAAGAGACAATCCATTGTCTCAAGCTGACAAACCATTGACTGGACAAAAACTGCACCCAGCAGACTTTTATTTGATTGACTTCTCCTCATAGCAATCCCCAACAGTGGCAAACTCTTTTGCCTATAAAAGGGGGCCTTTATACTTACTTTTTAGACAGAACACGTCACCCGATTCATAGCAATTGTTTATACAAATATCATGAACTCATTTTAAATATTTTGTTGAGCTATTTTTGAGAGTTGATATGTTATTCATAAGAGTGTTTATTGTACTCAATATTTCGAATTTACAATTAATCTATTTTAAACACTCTTTCTTACTTCAGACTATTAGTTTATAACAGTTATGACTTGGCACTATGAGTAGACTTTAGAATACTTAGTTATGACTTGTCACCTAGGCAGCTAGTCTACTAAGCATCCTGGGTGTCCACCTGCGCCTTGCCTTTACGTTGTGGTAACCATGGTGAATATGAATTAAAATTTACAGCATCCATCAAATTTAATCTGACAAATGTGAGAAAAACATATTCCAGTGCTCATTCAAGTTTGAAACTGCATACCTTGTTAGATTTTGCTTCTGAAATTATATCCTCAAGAAGATCAATGCTAGAACTTTGACTAGAACGGGTAAGGGTAACAATAGAGCTAGGGACAAATTCCAGGTCCGCATCAAGCACTTCACCATTAACATTTATATCAGGGGCAACATTAACAGAACTTTTAAGTCCCATTTCTTCAGGATCACCATTTTGCCTTTCTGGGTCAACAGCCAATTCTTCACATCTCTCATGGGCATGTACAATTGATGGAGAAGCAAAATTTAGAGAATCAGAACCGGGTAATGTTTCACTGAGAGCATGTTTATGTGCAGTGACACTACACTCATTTCTTGGAAGTCCATCTATATTAACTCCAGGCATGCCCACGCATTCTAAAAATACATCTTCACTTTCTTCATTCTTAAAAGCACATTTCTCATGCACATTCAAAGAAAAAGGTTCTGGAATTTCAATGGATGCAAATTTTTTATCATCATTGAATTGCACAGCAAGTTCAGACGATACATTATGATCAACTTGTACACTACTTTCACCAATCGCAAATGAGATCAAATTCTCACTGGTATTGTGTACACCTTTTGCATCATTTGGTAATTGGCATTGCCCATCTATAGCATCGTAGGATGAAAAACCATCACACTTTTGGTTTAAAGATCCCATTTTTTGTGAACGATTGTCAACCAAGAGCGTTTCACTAAAATTCACTGCAACTGATGATGTCAAAAAAGACATGTCAATTACTTGCAACCAAAGGCAGTAACAGGGAAACTATAGCATGCAGTTTTCTTATTGCTAATGCCTTAAATCTGTTGCATTAATAATCACCGACTTGCTATGAAATTGCATTGTAGGAAAAAGTAACCAAAGGCATACCAAGAGAACTGTTAACTACAGCAGCCTCACTATTAGCAGATGACACGGAAAATGAAACAGTTCTCTCTGTAAAAAATGGGATAACCTCCATAAGAACAGCCTCAACAGCTGCGTCGGGATCCATACGATGTTCAATGGACACAGCCCTTAGAACCCAAGAATCAATCTGTTTCAAGTGAAAATTATTTCAATAATATGTAGTGTCTTGTGCTGCATATGATCAAGATTTTGAAAGGCAAAATTGGGTATCGAATGATTGGGACTCTCAGACATGAGGCGTAAAGGAAACGGTAATTTTATTGAATAAAGAAACATGATGCAAAGTCACGGGAGAAGGAACCGACTCCATGCTTGTAAGAAATGAAAGTAAAGTAAAATAATATGCCAGGACAAACTGGTAAACAAATAAAAACTAAAACAAAGAGCTATACAACCAAAAACAATCAAAACTGTAGGCCCTCAATTTAGTTTTAACAAAATAATATAGTAAAATGCATAATTTATACTGTGAAAAATAGTACTTTTAGTGCATTATAAATTATTATAAGTAATATAAACTTAAAAGAGATTTTGAGAAGTTCAAAAAACAGAATCAGACAGTGTTAAACAACCAGAAACTATTGTTACCAAATACCAATATGACAATAAGTAAATAAGTAATAGACGCCTAGTAAAATTCTCCAATATAAACATCCACAAACTCCCAAATTAAAAAAGAGATTAAATAAAGAGGGATGGGTGAGAGAGAGGGAGGGAAAGAACGGTGGGGGGAGACTAAGTGTGATTTGAAGAACTAAGTGCTAAAAGAAAAATATGAGAAAAAAGACAATCAAACATAGTTTCACTCTAGACAAAGACTAGAGGGTGATGCCTCATTTAATTAGCACCTAGGTTTTCTCAATACAAATCTTTGTTTCTACTATGTACTATATACGCTATGGTGGTTAGGCCAAAGATGGAGCAAAGTAAATGATTGATTTGTTAGGAAATAAAATTTGTGATTAGCATTTAACATTAGAGTTTAGATTTTTTTAAAAATTATGATACAAATTAATTTTGTTTGTTAACATTTTCAAAATGTTGAAGTTATGCGCTAAAGCGAATGCCAAATAGAGCAAATACAAATTTCCGAGGGCTCTAGGCCCAATAGCTTTAAAGAACTTCCAAAAAATCATGACAAAATTAGTAGGCTTAAGCCTTGAATTTTAGCTTTGCACCACATACACCTCAATTAGGCCTTGCGCCACATACAACTCGATTAAGCCTCATCCAAGGACAAAAGGTAGTAGTACAACAAAGAAAATAATGCACTCGAAATGAAAAAAATGTTTCCTCTCAGAATAGATAGACAATGACACCCATGTCAATAAGAGAGAAGAATTAGTATAATTAACATACAATGCAAATAAAAAAACACTTGATAAAATTTAAAGATTCAGCATAGAGAGCGTGCCTCTGGAAATATCTCCTGTAAAGCGTAATACACTTTTTTGAACCCCATCTGAAAGAATTACAAATTCGAATCTGCACAAGTGTAGGCAATAAACATAAGTAGGAAAATCTGATGCCAAATTAAAAAAATATCACTCTAGAGAGAGTACAATAGCAAGTCAAAAAGCTAGAAGGTGATCCTAATTCTCAAAACCTACCATTTGTCCCAAAGCTTTTTAATAAAAATGGAGCAGAAGGAGGAAAAAGAGTTTCATAATATTGTTATACTTCCTCCGTCCCAAATTAAACTTCCATTCACTTTTTCAGAAGTAAATGTAAAACTTTGTGGATAAGATTAATGCAAGGGAGTGAGAAATAATGTGTACCATGTTCTTTTAAAATAAATTAGAAGTTAGTTTTGAGACCATCAAAAAAAGAAAGTGACAAGTTTATTTGGGATAGAGAGAGTATGAAAATGAACCATAGGGCTGGTAAAATAGGCCTCGTCTTCTCGAGAATTGCTCAAGAAAGAGCCTAAATAGTTGACCCATAAGCATGGAATATTATGAAGTTCATACCCCACAATCAGGCATAGTAAATTACAACAAATTTGTTTAAATAAAAGGCTATCAAATATCACAAACTCCACATAAAACACAGAGCTGAATTTCCCCACACGGCTAGTGAAAAGTGGCGTCGAATCCTAATGACATTCAGAACATCGTTTTAATGATACCGTGCGCAGGAATCCAGAAATCGCAACGAGAATGAATCGCTTCAGCATGGGGAACCCCTAGCTGGAATACGAAACCCTAGGGGATGAAGGGTTAACCTGAAATTGTCAAATTTGACAAGAGAGTGAAAAACACATACCTATGCAGGTGCGTAGAGAAGAGAAACCCGAGACGGTGCGAGAATGAGGATCTGGCGTTTCCCATGCTCTTTATAAAACGTATAGTACGGATTACAGTATCTTAGTTGAATAACTAGTGATAATAGACCTTGTATGTTGTATCCGGAGTACATTCTCCCTATCTTGTAAATTTAATTTGATTTAGGACCATGCTACACTTACACCAAAAAATATATCTCATTTGTACACCACAGGTTTGCACAATTATTTCGATGATTTACACCGACACAAGTGTTGGTGCGTTAATAAAAATTCACACGGATACAAATGTTGGTGTGTTTAACAAAAATTAGTTTTACACCAACACAAAATGTTGGTGCAAAACTGCGGGGTATAAATTGGGGTACAAATCTTGGGGTAAACATAGCATAATCCTTTGATTTATTTTAATTTTCTAGTAATCTTATATTTTCTCTAGATCTGGCAAAGCGGTCGGTCACGTCAGGTTCAAATTCAAGTTATTTCTATGTCACTTCGAGTTCAGGTCTAAGAGTGGTTGTTGATGACCCAGAGTTATCGAATTCGGGTTGAGATACGTATTTAGAATTAAAATACTTGGAATTTTTTATTTGGAGACCAAGTAATCAACGCATTATACAAAACAAATAACGAAATCATAAAAATTTGCAAGTCTACTTGCAGCATACCAAAAGAAAATTGTAATATACCCAAAAAGAATTGGATTTTTGCACCATACCAAAAAAGAAAAATTCATTAGACGAAAAAAATGAAGACTCTTTCAACATACCACAAAAATGTATACAAAAAAATTGAGATTCTTGGAACATACGAAAACAAAAATTTACAATAGATGAAAAGTCAGATTCTTGTTTATATTTTAAATATGGTACCGTCATTACATAATTGCAACATACAAATAAGTGCAGTATTCTAAAAAAAATTACACTAGAAAAAACAATTATAATATACCAAAAAATTTAGAAGAAAAAAATTAAAACTTGAGTTACCCGCAGACACAACTAAAGAAGATGAAATAGGATTAGAAATTTCACTATTGTTCTTGTGTCTTCTCACCATTTTGATTGAGTCGGCACCTAATATCGAGGGACGGTTTTCTCTTTCTTCGTCTTCTTCATCACTTGACGAATTACAGTCATCGGATGTTTCATCCGTTTTACTTGACTCATCATTTCAGTCACTTGAGTCATCACTAGACTCCTCTTAGGATGCCTTGAACGTATTGGTTCATTTCGGATCTTCTCTCAAATATTCTTCTTTCATATTAATGATCAAAAGCTCATGAGAATACAAAGAAGACCGAATGTGGGCGGTTCTTTCCATTGCAAATTTGGGTAAAAGATCTACAATACTACTATGCCATTATTTTGGCAAAGAAAGTAAACTTTTAGTATTTATCACTTGTAGGTGTCACCTTCATGTGTGGCTTAGTATTTAGTAAAAAGATCTACAATACTACTATGCCATTGAACCTTCTATTGGCATCTTGGATTGACTCATGTTGGCCAACTTTGAAACTTTCATACTTTGAGTTGCCGAGGGCCAACATAGTTTGCTTCGTGGAGGTGTCACCTTCATGTGTGGCTTGAAGCAAATCTCATACCTCCTTGGCCGTTTTGCACGAACACACACGTGCAAACTCATCAGGTCCAAGAGAGCAATGAAGGATGTTCATCGCCTTTGCGTTCATGAACAATTTTCTCTTGTCCTCCGAGGATAGTCTTGCAAAACCACAGTTTCTCGGCACAAATGGCCCGTGAAGTACATTCAACCATAAATCAAAATCAATTGATTGAAAAAAGTATTCCATCCGCATTTTCCATTAAGAATAGTTTTGACCATTGAAAACTAGAGGGTGGTGAATGCTTTGGGATTCCATTGTGGATGCCCTTTTAATAAAATTGATTTTGTTAAAAATCAGGGATAAGAAACTTTAGAGATTTTAAAATTCAATTTAAAGAGGGGCACAACAAGGAGATCTTAGTCGCAGATGCGATTAAGCACTTTCAACTACGAAACCGCTCCGATACCACTTGTTAGTCGTTGTGCCCACGCCTTAGAGGGGGGGAGGTGAATAAGATGTTTAAAAACTTTTCAGAGTTTGATAAAAACGGTGTTGGCAAATGCGGAAGCAATAAATAAAATGCAGAAATAAAAGCGTAAACTAAAAGACACATTGATTTTATACTAGTTCGGGAAACCCCTACTCCAGTACCTTTAGGCTCCTCTTTAAGGATTACCGAATCCACTAAGTCCCAGTCTCTTGGACTCCATCAAAGCACCACACTTGTTATACCTGAACCCGGGGTCTTATCATTTAGATAATTTGAGGGTGGGATTACGGAAGAATTGGTAGCAAACCAGAACAGCCGTTAAACTTCAGGAGGGGCTGATAGTCGATTGACAGAAGGAGACAATCGATTGTTAGAGACAGCAAGAATCCTGGGGGACGTGATAATCGATTAACAGAAATAAACAATCGATTATTGAAGGCTGCAGAATTTCTGGGGAAGCTGATAGTCGATTGTCTAATGAAGACAATCGATTGTTGAAGGCTGCAGATGTTTCTACGGAGGGCTGATAATCGATTCCCTCAAAGAATAATCGATTATTTGAAAGATTTCTATGCAGGAAGAAAGGTGTTTTGTGGGGGAATGGCTTGGAAATATATGGAGATGATGAGGGAGTTCTTTTGGGTAATTTAATGGAAGAAAAGAGTGAGATTAAGAGGAGAAGTGGGGAGGTATGAAATGGGAGAAAATCAGGGATGGATAAACCAAGGTGGTGTTTAAGAGATATTACACACTCTTATCCTAACTTGGGGTTTGAATCTAGAATTTAATTAAGATATGACACACTTAATCAAATATCTAGAACCTAAAACTCACACTTAAGATATCCACTCTTAAGATATAGAATTAGGAATTTGGCTAAAATAGCATCACACTATTTTATAAATACTCAAAGAGTAAAATGTTTTAATATTCAAAAGATGTGTTACATTTGGCCATAGGGCATGATTTATATAGGTAGGGGGAAGGGGGAAATAATACACAATGCAATGAATGTGAACATGAGGAAGCTTCCTAGCAACATCCTCCTCCAAACATGGGGTAATCTTTCTTCAATCCTGTCTCCTGGGTGGTCTTAAAAATCAGAGATGAGGGTAGGTTTGTGGGGGTTGTGGGCTTTGGTTTGTAGTGGTTGTTTTCTGGGTTTTAAGGCTATTATTTGGGTAAATATGAGGGGTTGTGTTTGCTGAGAAAAGGGGGCAGAGATGGGGGCTATAATGGGTTGTTTTGGACTTATAGGTTTGGGTTTTTTTGTGAGGGAATATGGGCAGGAATGAGTGGCTAGTGGTGGGTCAGGTTTTTGGCCTTTTGTGGGTGTTTATGTTGGGATTGTGAAGTGTATTTTGGCCAGGGGTGAATGGAATAAAGGGAGGGTTTTATTGGCTTAATAAAAGGCTTAAAAAAAGGAAAATAACAACAACTAAAAGGTTTTATTTTACACACTCTTATTTTCGGCCCTGGGCTAAAATAAGAGTAGGAAAAACTTTATTTTGAAAAGGAAATATTTTGGATGTTTAGGGAAGGTATGGGGAGTGTCGGCTCAGCCTCGGGTGTGGGACATGGGGGAGGGTATGATAGGGCCAAGCCCGGATATAACAGCACTAGCTTTGGCAAACAACCCTTGCCAATAGGATTCACTATGAGATTTTACCACGGCTATCTCGAACCGTTTACAATGAAGATTTCTCGGCTATCTTCGACCATACCCCCACGGATTTCAAAGGCTATCCTTGAACCTTTACCCAAAGATTTATACGTCTGTCCTTAACCGTTATAACGTGAGAATTTAACGACTATTCACGACCGTATAAATGTGTGTTTGCTGAACACAAACAAGGATTCTACACAATGGCTTGAATATAAAAATGAAAAACAAAACTTAGCCGGTGTAGAACGAAATCATACTCTCTCAAAAATACAATATAAACTTATGAATATGAGGGTATATATCTAAAACACAAGCTCAAAGTGTGTGTATAAAAATTAGGAATTCAAGGCTCTTAAAATAGCCAAAATATTGAAAATAATGAATAAAAGAATGAACACACTTAGAATATAAAGAGAGGATGTTTGGAGCTTTGTTTCTTGTTGAAATATGAAGGATTAAGCTTGTATTTATAGTGTAAAAAGTTATTTAGCCGTTGGAGACAAATTTGGAAGTATTTTGACTAATTAAATGTGATTAGATTTGTAATCCAAAATTTGAAATTTTTTCTCCAACGGTAACGGTAGGGGGTATTGTTCAAACGGTATAGGGTACAGTTACAAGTGTTTAGGCTGTTTCTCTGCCTTAACGCTCGGTACCTGTGTGTGGTCACGGTAGGGGGTACCGTCATATAGTGCAAGCTAATCGCCATTTTTACGGTCGGTACCTACATGTGGGTTACGGTAGGAGGTACCTTCTCAGATTGACTCATGGTACCCCTTACGGTAGGGGGTCCCAACCTGATAGTAGGGGGGTACCTTCTTAGATTGGGTCACGGTACCCTTTACGGTATAGGGTACCTTTTGACTGTTTTGATGATTTTTTAGATTTTTGTCCAAATCGTTTCCAATTTTGTTTAAAAGCTTTTGGATGTTTGAAAATGATTATAAGAAGGTTTTAAACATATTTTGTGAGTGCTTTTGAGCTTGTGAATATAGGTATATAAAATCATATCCTTGCAATGGTTTTTACCTGCTATATTCTACGCTAGTTTAGTGTTTCAACTTTCATTCATGAGAACTAAATCTTAATGGATTCTTGTTGTACCTGAAACACCTAAGCAACCGTTAGCTCTTATATTGTTTGTTAACATCAAAACATGAGGCTTAGCAAACCAAGGCTAACACACTTCATTTGTGCGTAAAACATTTGATCTCTATCGTCCGAATCTCATTCACTTGTTTTACGCAAATCTCTCTTTCAACGAACTGACGGGTTCTCAAATCCTCCATCATTGCCACTGACATTGAGATGACTCTTAAGAATATCGGTTGACTTTTTAACTTTTCCTTTGAGGGTTGTGATATTAATAAGTTCACATCTAAGGAATTCAAAAAATTTTCTTCCTAGGACACTATTACCGAGGTTTGTCTTGAAGACGTTCTTGGGCGCGAACGTCTAACTGTTGGAGGTCTTAAGCCTCATTTTGGTATTTGATAAGTCCGTTTTGTACTTATCTTTTTACTCATATTTAATTTGTTCTTGTACCATTTTTATTATCAAAACAATAAATTATTTATTCTTTTTTATCAAAAACATATGTTTTGATGAATTGATAATAAAAAGAATGGCTTTGAAATAATATATAAAATTGGGCCAAGAATAGAGTAAAAAGAGTAAATTTTAATAGAAAAACAATTCTATCTCACAAACGGTGCGGAATTAGAAGTCGGTGCAGAAGGAAAAAATGTTCGGAACAAAATTTTGAGCAAGGTAGCATCGGCGGATTTTGGCGGCCTGACAGGCGACCTGGCTGGCGGCAGCTGGCCGCCTTTCAGAAGGCGGCGACGGCGAGGTGGAGCGCTGGCGGGCTGACAGGCGGCCGCCTGTCTGCCCGCCTGTCGACGGCGACCAGCGACGAGAAGGTTCCAGTGGATTCCAGCGGCACGCTAGCGGGCTGGCAGCCGCCAGTCTGCTCGCCGGTCGGAAATCCTTCCCTATAAAAAGGCAGCGACGTCTTCCCCTTTCCCCAAGCTTCTTAATCCGTTTTCCCCCCTTTTTGGGGCAAAACTCTTCACTTTTTATTTCCAAATATTGTACTAAATTTGAGTGGGTTAAATTTCATCATTCCAAAGTCTTGATCTGAAGATTTGTGCGATTTGTATTCCGTTCTTCAAGATCTGTAAGCTTTCCTGTAAACTTTTCCTTTATTAATAAAATTATCTTTTATTACTTAGTTTAAATTGTGAACTAATGGCTTTTAGTGGCTAAATTTATACTTAGGTATGAATTGAATAAAAGGGTATGGGCTAATGATTAGTAATTAAAATTAAGTTAGTAACTTGATTAATTTGATTCAATTGTCTAAAATGAGATTCACTAATTAATAGATCTGGCCAATTTATTAATTAATCTTTGGAGATTATTTATCTAGCTTGTCTATGAGTTAAGAAAAATAATCTAGCCAACCATATTTAGACACATTAATGAGGCCTGAAAGATGGATAAGTTAATGATATGGGATCAAATTAATTAAGAAGCTAATTTTATCCAAAATTATTATCTTAGACCATATACCTGTTCGATTCGTACCTGTTTCTAAATTATTGATTGTCTGTTAAGTCTGCATTCCGATCTTAACTCCTCAAGTTATTTTATCATTTATTTTGGACGCTTTATTTCTTATTATTTTACGTTTCTTAAACTATAAATTTACATGTGATAAATAATAAAACTAACTATTCCCTTCGTCACTCCTGGAGAGAATGACCCGAGTCTAACTCGGTTATTTGTTGACTTACCGCTATATTTTAGCTTCGTCAGTATTCTTCACTATTTCATTTCGAAAGTATTAGCTCCACGCAAGTCGAGCCATTCCAAAATACTTTCATTGGACACTCGTCTTCTTTTCGTGTTTGTGAAGAATATTAAAATTATTTGGGCAAAGTTCTTTTGCAATCACCTTCTTTTCATGAAATCAAAAGGGTTTCTTAGGTATGTGGTCCCAATTATGACCATCTTGAGCGCATATAAGGTGCCTTTGATGAAAGACATTCACGTCAACAAGAACCACACTTGGTACATCGACGTTGCCACCTTCAACTGCTCAAACATACCTAAGGCCGTAGAAGATGAGGGAGAGGAAGAAGAAGAGAAGGAGGAGGGGAGGATATGAGGAGCAAGGATGAAGAAGAATGCGACCCAGAAGGCAAACCGGAGAATGTCCAAGAAATTGCGCCTTTCGAGCCTCAAGAAGAGTCGAGTCGGCGTTCCTCTTCTTCTCGGATGTCACGCTCTACTTCATTGCGTCGCTCTCATCGGTCCATCCTTCAAAGGATTTTGGACACCGTGACGTGCACTCGCGTCGAGGTGGCTATGCAAGGACATTGTTAGCCTTGGTTTGTTAAGCCTAATGTTTTGATGTTAACAAACAATATCAGAGCTTAACATTTGTTTAAGTGTTTCAGGTACAACAAGAATCCATTAAGATTCGGTACTCAAGAATGAAGTCGAAACACTAAACTAGCGTAGAATATAGGTAGAAACCAATGTAAGGATATGACTTTATATACTTATATGCACAAGCTCAAAAGCACTGACAAAATATGTTTAAAACTATCTCATAAACATCTTCAAATATCTAAAAGGTTTTAAACTCAAACACAAAGGATTAAAGAAACTTTGGAAAACGCAGGACTGTAGCACGGGACCCCCCTACCGTCTGGACGGGACCCCCCTACCGTAAGGGGTACCGTAAGAGGATAGGTACCGCCAAAGAGTTTTGGCCTGAGAAGGTACCTAGCTACCGTAAGCACGGGACCCCCCTACCATCTGAACGGGACCCTCCTACCGACTGGACGGGACCCCCCTACCGTGACCGTTGGGTTACTATTCCTGATTTGTGATTTTGACTTTAATCAATCCTAATCACCTCCCAATGGCTAATTAACCTTTTTCACTATAAATACAAGCCTAATCCTTCATATTTATTCAAGAAACAAAGCTCTAAACATCCTCCCTTTTTATTCTAAGTGTGTTCATTCTGTTAGTCATTATTTTCAATATTTTGGCTATTTTAAGAGCGTTAAATTCCTGATTTTTATACACACACTTTGAGCTTGTGTTTCTAGTTATACACTCTCATATTCATAAGTTTATATTGTATTTTTGAGAGAGTATAATTTCCTTCTACACTGGCTAAGTTTTGTTCTTCATTTTTATATTTTAGCCGTTGTGTAGAATCCTCTTTTGTGTTCTTCAAACAATGTTGGGAAAAATATTATAGATTTTCATGATGATGTATTTAGATTGTAATAGGTACTTTAGGCCTCCCCCAATATTCAATGTAATTTTTTTTTAGAAATATTGTTAAAACCGAGTTCTTGAGGTTTCCAATAAAGTTGTGATATTTCACTAAGTGGTTTGATATTTGAAGACTTAATCAAATTCAGTGATATGGAAATTGGATATCTTGATCGGAAATGTCAGAGACAAGTAAGGATTTCTCAAAGCAGATGAAGATCCTCTAATCCAGAACACTACATGATAACCGGATGTCTCGCTACAACCCGCTGAAGGCTAAGTCATCAAAATCGGAAGACCAGCGCGAATATCTTTCTCACCCTGAAGTCTATGAATGACTATTCCGGATTTGTCAGCGAAAGAACCGGATGCCTCAAGAAAGAGCGGAACTCTCAGAAGCGAACAAGTGAGAAAAGACTTAGAAAATTATCTAAGTCTTGAATGAAGAAATTCTACCCGTTGGTAAGGAAAAATCAGTCTCTTGATTTTCAACGGCTAGATTGAAGATAATTAAGCTAATTCAAGAACAAATGACTTGAAGACAAAGTCTGGACCTCTCAAGTTAAAGAGCTCGTTCAGAATTCCTAAACAAGCACTAGAAGACAAATTGAATAAAGAGCTACAGTCTAGAATTCTTGAACAACAGCTAGAAGACGGATTCTATGGAAAAAGGAATCCCTCCTCAAACAATTGGGTATGTCCAAACACCCATTCCAATGAGGAATCCGCAATCACAATCTTCATTCAAAATTGAAGCTAGCAAATGCAACGGATAGTCTATTTTGATTCAACGGATAGATTACCCAATCCAGCTATAAATAGAATCCTTGGAAGACTGGAGAAATATACGAATGAGATATATGAGATAGAAAAGCACGAAATACACACAACAAAGAAAAGTATAGCTATCTCATTCACAGTTAGCCCAAAAAGCTTGATAAGGAGAGATTTCTAAACTCCTTATCCAGAAGCAAACTTCTCCTCCTTCCAAAGAGCTATAGTGTAAACACTTGAAGGTTTCCTTGCCTCAAGTACCACACCATGTTGAAGGATACAACTTTTAATCAAACTTCTTGATTAAAAGGGGGTACATCAACTTTCTTACAAGTTGATCTTGCAAGTCCTATTGTTCGGATCTTGCAGTTGTTGAAGAAGCGTGACCTCCGAAGGAACAACAAAGCCAGCACGAGTGTAGTAGCAACATTGGCCTTGCAAAGATATACCGTGCAGAAATTCACACAAGTGTAATTGTTGGTTCATTATTCAACAACCAACTACATAGTGGATTTTGAGGACGTAGAATGATTACCCCACCTTTGAACCTCGTTAAAGTTTGCGTGTCTCTCTCTTTTATCTTTACTCATACTTGCAATTATATTAACTGTGAAAACTAACTCATCCATATTGATTACTGCTCATTATCCACCAAATTACGCACACAATCTAAGGTTCACAAGAACTCTAGATTAATCACTTATTTTCTTGTTTTCAAAAAGAAATGAAAAAGTTTTTAATTTGTAACAAGGTCTATTCACCCCCCCTCTAGACTTTGTATCTCATCACTTTGGGACCACCAATTGGTATCAGAGCAAACTTCTCACTATCTACATTTAGATTAACGAGAAGCGATCATAATGGTGAACAATATTGATCACGGTTTGCCCAAGTTTTCTCTTCTAGGTTATGATGACTGGAAGATCATGATGGAAGCACATCTTTACGCTCTACATGATTGCATAAGGATGGTGCTTGAAGATGGACCCTTAAAAATCCAAATGGAGAATCCTGAGAGGAATCCAGCCAATCTAGATGTAGTCCAATACATTCCAAAGCCCAAGGAGAAATGGGATGATAGAGATTGCAAGAAGCACAATCGTGACAACGTCGCCAAAGCAGCCATCTTCAAGACACTTGATCCCATCACCTTCTCCAAGATCAAGCATCTCAAGACTGCCATGGAGATATGGCAAGGTCTTGGGAAGTTATGTGAGGGATCAGAGGATCTGAGAAAGCAGAAGATAGAGGTCCTACTTGAGAAGTTCAAAAGTTTCAAAATGTTTCCCAGAGAATCATTTGATATGTTGGATGAAAGATTCCACAAAATCTTAAATGATCTTGCATCACTTAACCATGTTCTTTCTCCCAAAGAAAAGAATGTAAGGTTACTGAGGTCTCTTCCAGCTGAGTGGTACACCAAGGCCACAGCCATGGAAGAAGGAAGAAATCTGGAGAACTACACTGTCCAATGTCTCCTTGATGAGCTCAGAACCTATGAGCATGAGCTGAAGAAGAAGAAGGAAGAACAAGTCACTCCTTTTCCCACGGCACTAATGACAACTCCAAGAGTCCCATCAAGTGAAGGGACATGCCCAAGGAACTGTGACACACCCTCCTCCAGCCAGCCGTCAAGCTCAAAAATGGAGAACTATGATGAGGAATTCACCATGATGGTCAAGCAATTCCGGAAGTTCAATTCAAAAAGTTCTTCAAGAAAGCTGACTCAGTCAGAAGGCCATCCAAGGGAAAGCCACAGGTAAGTGACTCCCCTCCTGAATCTTATTTGTGTTATAAATGCAGGAAACCTAGCCATTGGAAGTCAGCATGCCCATACCCAAAAGTGGAGAAGTACGGAGAAAGAGAAAGGAACGAAAAGAAGAAGAAGGCAATGGTTGCAGCTGAAAGTGACGAGTCATCCAGTTCAAGCTCCGATGAAGAAGCCCTCATCTACATGGAGCGCAGAGCTGAGAAGTCCAACCATGAGGATCGGTAGACTATGTCAGAAGATGACACCCTCTGCCTAATGTCCAACGATGATGTTGATCAAGAGGTAACATCACAAACCTCCTTCTCATCCTCTTATGAAAGCATACCAACTTCTGAAAGTCTTGTTGACAAGTTCAAAAGGATGATGAAAGATTTTGAGGAAATAAATCTCAAACACTCATCCTTAACAGAGGAGAACAAGCTAATGAGTGAAGAGAATCTCAAGTTGACTGAAGGTCGGAAGAGTCAACTAAGTGAGATTACTCAACTCAAGGCTGAAAATGATTCTCTCTCGGAAAAGGTGAAATCCCTTAACAAGAGCTAGGAATACTTAAGTCCAGAGAATCAGTGGATAAGCTTCTTAAAGCGACCAAACAAAAGGGTCGTGAAGGACTTGGGTTTGACCCCTCCAGTTCCAAAAGGAAAGGGAGAACAACTTTTATCCCTCCTAAACCTACTGCCAAACCCAATAAGCAGAAAGGAAAGGAGAAGGAGAAACCCACAGAAGTTCCCAAAAAGGTAGTCCCTCCTAAGAACTATAGGAAGATGGACACACCTCAAAAAGGAAACAATTTCAGAAGAAAACCTTTTAACCCCCACTATACACGAGGCTATACTCATTATGGGGTAGATAGGAGTTTTCCAAGAAATTCTGAGTGGAGAACTATGCTAAGATATAGTCATCCTCCACCCCAGAAACTATTTGTTCCACCTAAGTATGCTTACAACTGTCACAAGTCACACTATGCACAACCTAGACAAAACTATAGGTCTTATCAACCTAGGTTTGCTAGGAGGAAACAGGATATTGCACCACGTGCGCGTAGGAAGTTTTATGCCTACAACTATGACTACAATCCCAACAAGTTTAGAGCTGCAAGGAAAATTCCCTGCAACTTCAAACTTGATGTAGGGACACACACCATTAACTATTCCGGACCCAAACTTAATTGAATTGGGTACCAAAATCTTCCTCCTCCTAATGCAGGAAGCCGCTAAGTACCCAGGTGTCTGGTACTTAGACAGTGGTTGTTCAAGACACATGACGGGTGATGCAAGTCTTTTGAGCAATCTAATTCCCTATGATGGTCCAAGAGTTACTTTTGGAGGAAGCAATGATTTCGGCCTTTTAAAAGGGCTAGGAAATCTGGTGTACAAGGGACTAACAATCCAAGCTGTATCTTATGTGGAAGGTCTCAATTATAACCTTCTTAGCATAAGTCAGTTTTGTGATAAAAGTTACTCTTTGGAACACTACAAGGACATGGCATCCCTCAAGAACATCTGCACAAATGAAGTCATTCTCACTGGGAAGAGAATCAGAAACATCTATGAAGTGATGTGGGACAATGTCAAGGAAGCATGCCGAATCAGCAAAGGTGACACTAACCTTCTATGGCTTTGGCATAAGAGGTTGAGTCATCTCAACTTCAAAACTCTCAACAAGCTATCCAAAGAAGGGTCAGTAGAAGGTCTTCCCAAAGCTGTATTAAAAAAGGAAAGCATTTGTGATGCTTGTTAGAAAGGAAAGCAAGTCAAATCCACTTTCAAAGCAAAACCGGCACCCTCAACTACAAGGATATTAAGTCATGTTCACATGGACTTATTTGGCCCTGTTACACCAATAAGTCTAAGTGGAAAGAAATATGTCCTGGTGGTAGTTGATGACTACTCAAGATACATGTGGACAATCTTCCTCAACAGCAAGAAGGAAACTCAAGGGAAGCTCACAAACTGCATGAAGCTGATTCAAAATCAAGCAAGTCAGACCATCCAGAAGATCAGATCTGACAAAGGCATAGAATTCCTGAATGAAATCATCATTAATTACTGTGAAGAAAATGGAATTCTTCATCAGACATCAGTAGCGAGGACTCCCCTACAGAATGGTGTACCTAAAAGAAGGAACAGAACCTTGAAGGAAGCAGTAAGGACCATGCTAGATGAAGCTTTCTTGCCAAAGAGGTTCTGGGCTGAAGCTGTAAACACAGCTTGCTATACTCAAAATAGGAGTATGATTTATAAAAGGCACAACAAAACTCCCTATGAACTATGGAATGGGAGAAAGCCTAATATATCATATTTCCATATTTTTGGGAGCAAGTGCTTTGTGTTAAACAATGGGAAGAATCGTCTGAACACTTTTGATGAGAAATCAGATGAGGCCATCTTCCTAGGATATTCCATGGTGAGCAAGGCATTCAGAGTCTTCAACAAAAGAACCATGATCACTGAAGAGTCAATGCATGTTATTTTTGATGAAAAACATGTGGTTGACAAACCATCAAAGCATGATCATGAGGTTCTGGATCTCTCAGACAAAGATGAAGAAGTCAATGAAGGAGATAGAATGAAGCCTACGGAGTTCATTCCATTCAGAAGTCTACCACTGAAGACTTCACAAAGAAATCCGGATTCAGATGGGGCTGAGCCTACCGGAAATCGTAGCCAGCCTTCCAACATTCCGGGTCACTCAATAGGCAAGAATTCCAGAAATGGCGACTCAGTGCCAATCCATCCGGAAACACCAACAACTTCTGTTCTTCAACCAGAAGCTGAACTAGATCAACCAGTCAACCCCAATCAACACAATCTTCGTTGGTTAAGGGATTATCCTCCTCAACAAGTCATTGGAGATATTCAATCAGGCGTTCGCACAAGGAGTGCTCAACAGAATCTAGAAGCCATGTTTGCTTGTTTCATCTCACAAGTGGAACCAAAGAATATTGAAGAAGCTCTAGCTGATTCTGATTGGATCAATGCAATGCAAGAAGAACTCAACCAATTCACCAGAAATGACGTCTGGAAACTTGTTCCCAGGCCTACTCATCAACATGTCATTGGGACAAAGTGGGTCTTCCGGAACAAGATGGATGAAAACGGCGTTATTATCAGAAACAAAGCCCGGTTGGTTGCCAAAGGTTATTGTCAAGAAGAAGGTATAGATTGTGATGAACCCTTCGCTCCAGTTGCTAGACTTGAAGCTATAATGTTGTTTCTAGCCTTTGCTGCTCACAAGGACTTCAAAGTCTATCAAATGGATGTCAAAAGCGCATTTCTCAACGGAAACCTAGAGGAAGAAGTTTATGTGGAACAACCTCCAGGATTTGAGTTACACACTAAAGGAGATCAAGTGTACAGACTCAAAAAGGCGCTATATGGACTCAAACAAGCACCAAGAGCTTGGTATGATACATTATCTCAATTCCTTATAGACAATGGATTCATCAAAGGAGTCATTGACAAGACATTGTTCAAACTTCAAGACGGAGAAGATCTCGTATTGGTCCAAATCTATGTGGACGACATCATATTTTGCTCAACTAAAGAAGCTCTTTGCACCAAGTTCTCCACCCTCATGCAAGGAAAATTTGAGATGAGCATGATGGGGGAACTCAACTACTTCCTTGGTCTTCAAATCAAACAGAGAAGTGAAGGGACTCTCATCAACCAAGCCAAGTACACAAGGGATCTTATCAAGAAATTCAAAGTTGATCAGAAGTCATCCGTTTCTGTCCCCATGAGTACATCCACCAAGCTTGATATGGATGTAGATGGAAAGGATGTTGACCAAACTCTCTACAGAGGAATAGTTGGATCTCTACTCTACCTTACAGCAAGCCGTCTAGATATCTCATATGCAGTAGGTGTTTGTGCCAGATTCCAGTCAAAGCCAAAGGAAAGTCATCTAATAGCAGCTAAAAGGATTCTTAGATACCTCAAAGGAACTCAGAATATGGGTTTATGGTATGCTAAGAGCAGCTCATTTGAGTTAGTGGGATACTCAGATTCTGACTTTGCCGGATGCAAAGTTGACCGGAAAAGTACATCTGGTACGTGTCAATTTATCGGCGGAAATCTTGTTTCTTGGTTCAGTAAGAAACAAAACTCCATCTCTACATCAACAGCAGAAGAGAGTACATTGCAGCTGGTAGTTGTTGTGCTCAGATCTTGTGGCTAAAGCAACAACTACTGGATTATGGAGTCAAAACAAAAGAAGTGAAAATCTTTTGTGACAATCAAAGTGCTATAGCCATCTCACAAAATCCAGTGCATCATTCTCGCACTAAGCACATTGATGTCAAGCATCACTTCATCAGAGACCATGTGGAAAAGAAAGATATCAAAATTGAGTATATATCTCAACTGAAGAACAATTGGCGGATATCTTCACAAAACCACTAAGTGAAGCCAAGTTTTCTGATTTGCTTCACAAATTGGTCTAATTCAATTAGACTGAGTGCGGTACACATGGCAGTCCACTTTCCACGTCTGTCAAAATAATGAGTAGGCACGTGGTCTTGGGAAAAGTTAAAAACCCAATCGCCACTAGCCGCATAAATCGCCCAAATTTAACCCAATCGCCACTATAATCAGATCTCAACTGCCCACTCAGCCCACTCAAAATTTTCGTGGTCTTCTTCACAAGAATTCTCTGATAGAATTCTCAAGAACCCTAAATTTCTTCAGATTCTTTCACTCAAACTTCAGAGAAAATGAAGATTGTTGGCGCTAATGTCCATTTCCAGAAATTGGAAGGCAAGTGCTCTTCACCGGCGTTCTATCAGACCTATCTGGATTTGATTGCTGCTCAAGAACTCTCCGAATTCCCTCATATGGAGATTCACTCCAAATATGAAGATGAAGTTCTTGAATTATACAGAAATGGAAAGGTCAAGACTTCCCAATCAAAGAAGAACCCACAGAGGAAGATTCAAGTTATCAAGTCCACTATTGGAGGGGCCAAAGTAAAGATTTCACAGAAGAAATTGGAGGAAAAGCTCCATCTTCCAAATTCTGGAAGTGAAATTGGGAGACTTCTAGCCAAGAATTTGGACTGGAAGACTATTGGGATTTCTGGGCAAATCCCCTCTGGCCCAGCGAAGAAGGCAGATCTGAAGAACGACTACAAGCTAGTTCTGGAGCTGGTCATTGCATGTCTTGAATGTGGGAGTGGAGGACATGCTGATGATATTACTCAGGAAAGGGCATTCATCATCAACGCTCTCATTACCAGGACAAAGGTAAACTGGGGTAAACATTTCTTCAATTCCATTTCTAAGCACTTAGGAAAGCCTAAACACAAATATCTCTGTCATGGATTGTACCTTGGGTACATTCTGGAATCCTTGGGAGTTGCCTCTGAAGGCAAGAAGTATGAAGCCAGATATTGGCTCTACTACCTGGCTTCCAAAGGAGAAAACAAAGTCAGTTCCACTGCAGAAGATGAAGGATCTTCAGATAACGTCCTCATCATGAGTCTGAAGAAATCGTCAAAGAGGAAGCAAGTGGTGTCTCCCTCCCCCAGTGCTGAAGCACCACACACCCTTGCAGTGGTGAATTTGGAAGAAGAAGAAGTTTCTGCCCAAGGGGAACTTCAAAGGAAGAAGAAAAGGAAAATCACCTCTCCCTCAACATCTGGAAATGCCAACCCGGATGAATTGGTGGGAAAGGAACCCGTTGAGGAGCACTCTGCACAGAACCAGAGCCCTCAACAATTGGATGAAGAAAATCCTCAAGCTCAGAGTTTTCCATCTCCTCCATTACAAGCTCAAACAGATGATGCTGAGAGCCAATTCATGCAGCTTTACTTTGACTGGAGTGCTTGGAAGGTTGGAAACTCAGCAGAGCAGTTGTTGGGATGGGATCAACAACTGAAAAATGAGAAGATCATCAAGAGATGCTTGGGTCTGCCAGTAAATCATTGCTGTGAGCAAATCTTGGATGTTGACTAGGTGTGGCAAAGAAACTATGACGATTTGCATCTGGAACACTTGGCCACCACACCAGTCTCAGAATTTGAAGTGGATGATGAGGATCCTGCAGTCTACAGGCCAATCTTCTCAAAAACAATAGAAGATCAGATGATTCTCACCTCTGAAGCACAGGCTGACATGGAAGCCACAGCAGAGGATTTCCAAGTTTTTCCGGAAACCTCCCCTACTGTTGAAGCTGTTCTGACTGAGGAAAATGAAGCCACTCCATTACAAGAACAGAATCAGGAAAGTTCAGAGGAAGAACTCCTTCAACTCCTCCAAACTCAAGTTCAAGAGATTCTCACAACTCCTTGTGAGATCTCCAATAAACGTGAACTTGAGATTCCGGAGAAGTCAGAAGAGAATCTGGAAAGGTCTACTCCTCTAGAAATGAATGAAGCTCAAGCTGTAGAAGTCTAGAGGAGTTTTGCAGAAGCTAAAAGGGAAGCTCAAATGGCTGGACTGGAGACCTCTGAAACTCCAGTGGCTATTTTTGAGCAGAACATTGGTGATGAAGACAAAGATTCCCTCTCCAGGGATATCTCAAACTTTGTGAATGAGACAGAGGAAGAGTCTGAAATGACGCTGAGGATTGATGATGAAGAAGCTGAGCAAGGAGATGCTGAATCCCTCCCCCTGCAACTCTTCCACAGAGCACCTCCTTCCCATCAGGTAACTAACTTTCACTTCCACAGCTCTTCCACATCCACTTTTCCGGATGAGGTATCGGAAACCTGGACAAGAAAGCTCCAAGGGTTGATTGAATCAGCCCTAGAGTCTCAGCATGCCTCTTTTAGGCAAGAGATAGAACGGATGGAAGCTAGGCATAACAAGCTGATGGAGAAATCTGAAGAAAAACATTGCTCAGATCTCAAGGAGATAAGCAAATCGGTGGACAAGACTAGAGATTATTTCTCTCTTGAGTAACTCTATGAGCAACACAATGGAGGCTTATGCATTTGACTATCATCTTCAACTCAAAGAAGTTAATAGAATCAAAGAGCAAATTGCAACAGTTACAATCAGCCTACAGAAGCAGATATCCTTTCTCCAGATGGATATTAGGCCAGCCTTGGCAGTGTCCTCAGCAAACCAAGTGGTGACTCAAGACTATCTCAAGGTCATTGCTAAAAATCAGAAGGAAGCATTCAAGATGTTCAGGCATTTTGGGACCTACACTGGCAAACGCAAGCTAGATGTAATTGTCCAAGAAAGGAGAACTCACTTACATTCCATCTCATCTGAACATGACGGAACTTATACTGGAAGCCCAGCAGAGCAATCCGGAAAACTCAATGCAGCATGTGACAGACACTGGTCTTGATGGAACAGAAGCTGTAGGAACCATTGCCTCTCACTTCTCCAATGATGCTCAAACTAAGGAGAGATACAACAACCTAAGGCGCATCAAAGAAGAATGTGGATTTATGCAAGGCATTGGTGAGACTGCCAGATCATCCAAGCGCAAGAAGCGCTGAAGGCTCTTTTCATCAAACTAGGGGGAAGTATTGGAAATATTATTGTGCTTTGATGAAAAAACCTTCTTGTTTAAACATGAGTTTTGGTTTAAACACTTCTTAATACTTCTCTTAATTATGCTTATTATGCTTGATCATATTCATTTTAAGTATGCTTGATCATATTCATTTTAAGTATGATTTTTGAGATTTATCTTTAAGCGCATACATTCAGGGGGAACTTAACTGTTTTTGGCTAACAATTGCTTTTGGCAATGAATTATTGATTAACTCTAAGCAATGGAAGACGGATACCTCAGTTTTAGTACTAAAGTTGGAAATCTTCGATTCAGGTACTTTACAAAACCTGCCTTCTTAAACTAAGATTTAATCTCTAGTTCATTTCCAAACATGCTCTAAACTACTGGTCCTTATGATTTTTATAATGTACAGGACTTTGGAAAAATAGTACTCCCTCCGTCCCAGAGTATTTGTCCACTTTCATTTTTACACACCATCCAATGCACTTCTTTAATCCATTTTATCTTGTAATTTGTATATTAAAAAATTATAGAAATTATATATTAATAATCTATATGTTAAGACAAATCAAACAAGATCACACATGACTATATTTAGGCTTACACATTGAGAGAATTTGATGAGTCAAAGTGCTTAGATGAACAGTTCCAAAAGTNCATTTTTACACACCATCCAATGCACTTCTTTAATCCATTTTATCTTGTAATTTGTATATTAAAAAATTATAGAAATTATATATTAATAATCTATATGTTAAGACAAATCAAACAAGATCACACATGACTATATTTAGGCTTACACATTGAGAGAATTTGATGAGTCAAAGTGCTTAGATGAACAGTTCCAAAAGTCAAAAGTGGACGAATATAGCGGGACGGAGGGAGTACCACTTTTTCTTTTAAAAACGAATTACAGTTTTTTTTGGTACTACCTCGTTCTAATTAGAAATTAGAACTATATGGAATGAAAAATGATAGTTTTATTTTGGGCTTGAGAACCCAATAGGAATAATTTCCCTTTAGTGCATAGATTTTTTTTGGGCCACTCTTTTGGGCTTAGCCAAACCAGAATAGTTGCGTTTTTCAAACCAAACGAAACTGATTTTTAATTGAAATAGTTTCAACACCTTGGTAACTGATAAAAGATTCTTTCAACTTTTCAAAATTCAACTTCTTAGAAGTTGAAACTCTTTTACACTCACCGTTCCAACTACCCACTTAATGGAACCCGTGAACCTCCCCTCTCTCAACCTCTCCTCCTATTTAAACCAAGACATTCCAATCCATTCCTATCACAAACAACTCTCTCAATATGAAAAGTCTTCAAACTCACTGTCTGAGAAAAACAGCAAGAAAAATACCCTCAATGGAGAAATTTTTCTTTCTCACCCTCATAGACGGCAATGGAGAAAGCCTAATGAGAAGAAAAGACATTCAAGGTCTATGGTGAGAATCTCGCCAGTAGAGAAGGTTTATGGTGAAAATCTCGCATTTTTCAGGATTACACCATACACCTTCTCTGGAACAACACTCTCTCCATTTTTGTTTCAATTTTTCCTTCTCTCTTTTTTGTTCTTCAAATTTCATTTTTTAAATTTTTTTTAACTTTCATCTCTCCCTCTTCCCTCTCTTTCTTTTTCTTTCTTTTCTTTTATTTGTGCAGTCTCTGCACCCTTCTCCCAAGCCTTTTTCAAAATTTCTTTGTGCAGTCTCTGCACCCTTCTCACCAGCATTTTTCAAAATTTTTTCTCTCTTTTTCAATTGCAGCTGTGATGCAAGCCTCTCTCTCTTTCCAGGCTTGCTCACCTTTTTCAAAACTTTCTCTTCCCTAGTCACCATAGGTTTTCTTTTAAAATTCTTTCTAAAATTTTTTTTCTCTTTTATCTTTTTGACAATCAATTCTCTTTTTCAAAACCTTTTTCTTGTCCTTCTGTCTTTTTTTTCTTTCCTTTCACCGCCGCCTCATTTCCCTCCACTTTCTTTTTGTTTTTGTTTTTGCTTTCTGGAGAGATGTTGCTTCCAAGATCTCAAATATCCACTTTGGATATTAAAGATCTATCAAACGCACTGCCATCTGTACTACCAAGCAAAATCTGCTGGAAGTGAAAGCAGTAAATGGTAGAAAATATCACAAATCTCAAGACAAGACTTGGTTTAGGAATTATTGTAATTTTTAATTGTATTTGTTTAAGAGTTTTTGTTAACAAGCTGTATATTATGAGAAACTAAAAGAAAGTTATAAAATTAGTTCTCAGTACAGCGACCAGAACTCTTAAACACTTGTTTGTCATCATCAAAAAGGGGGAAATTGTTGGGAAAAATATTATAGATTTTGATGATGATGTATTTAGATTGTAATAGGGACTTTAGGCCTCCCCCAATATTCAATGTAATTTTTCTTTTTAGAAATATTGTTAAAACCAAGTTCTTGAGGTTTCCAATAAAGTTGTGATATTTCACTAAGTGGTTTGATATTTGAAGACTTAATCAGATTCAGTGATATGGAAATTGGATATCTTGATCGGAAATGTCAGAGACAAGTAAGGATTTCTCAAAGCAGTTGAAGATCCTCTAATCCGGAACACTACATGATAACCGGATGTCTCGCTACAACCCGCTGAAGGCTAAGTCATCCAAATCGGAAGACCATCGCGGATCTATTTCACACCCAGAAGTCTATGAATGACTATTCTGGATTTGTCAGCGAAAGAACCAGATGCCTCAAGAAAGACCGGAACTCTCATAAGCAAACAAGTGAAAAAGACTTAGAAAATTATCTAAGTCTTGAATGAAGAAATTCTACCCGTTGGTAAGGAAAAATCAGTCTCTTGATTTTCAACGGCTAGATTGAAGATAATTAAGCTGATTCAAGAAGAAATGACTTGAAGACAAAGTCTGGACCTCTCAAGTTAAAGAGCTCGTTCAGAATTCCCAAACAAGCACTAGAATACAAACTGAATAAAGAGCTACAGTCTAGAATTCTTGAACAACAGCTAGAAGACGGATTCTGTGGAAAAAGGAATCCCTCCTCAAACAATTGGGCATGTCCAAACACTCATTCCAATGAGGAATCCTCAATCACAATCTTCATTCAAAATTGAAGCCAACAAATGCAACGGATAGTCTATTTTGATTCAACGGATAGATTACCCAATCCAGCTATAAATAGCATCCTTGGAAGACTAGAGAAATATACGAATGAGATATATGAGATAGAAAAGCACGAAATACACACAACGAAGAAAACTATAGCTATCTCATTCACAGCAGTTAGCCCAAAAAGCTTGATAAGGAGAGATTTCTAAACTCCTTATCCAGAAGCAAACTTCTCCTCCTTCCAAAGAGCTATAGTGTAAACACCTGAAGGTTTCCTTGCCTCAAGTACCACACCACGTTGAAGGATACAACTTTTAATCAAACTTCTTGATTAAAAGGGGGTACATCGACTTTCTTACAAGTTGATCTTGCAAGTCCTATTGTTCGGATCTTGCAGTTGTTGAAGAAGCGTGACCTTCGAAGGAACAACAAAGCCAGCACGAGTGCAGTAGGAACATTGGCATTCCGAAGATATACTGTGCAGAAATTCACACAAGTGTAATTGTTGGTTCATTATTCAACAACCAACTACATAGTGGATTTTGAGGACGTAGAAGGATTACCCCACCTTCGAACATCGTTAAAGTTTGCGTGTCTCTCTGTTTTATCTTTACTCATACTTGCAATTATATTAACTGTGAAAACTAACTCATCCATATTGATTACTGCTCATTATCCACCAAATTCCGCACACAATCTAAGGTTCACAAGAACTCTAGATTAATCACTTATTTTCACGTTTTCAAAAAGAAACGAAAAAGTTTTTAATTTGTAACAAAGTCTTTTCACCCCCCCCTCTAGACTTTGTATCTCACCACTTTGGGACCACCAAACAACCCTTCTTACGATCGAGAATATCCGTTAAATTCTCACGTTGTAACGGTTAAGGATAGCCGTATTAATCCTTTGGTAAAGGTTCAAGGATAGCCTTTGAAATCCTTGGGGGAGCGGTAGAAGATAGCCGTTAAATCTTCGTTGTAAACGGTTGGAGATAGCCGTTGTGAAATCTCGAAGTGAATCCTATTGGCAAGGGTTGTTTGCCAAAACTAGTGCGGTGCTTTGACGAAGTTCAAGAGACCGAGACTTAGTGTAACGCCCTACGAACCGGCGTGGTTTTAAATAAATGAATATTATTATTTATTTAGACTCATTATTTTAAAATAGTAATATTGAGATTTCGATCTCTTAAAATGGCTTTCCAAGCTAATGTATTTTAATATAAAAAGATGTTTTAATAACGGACCTCTCAACATTAATTAAATAAATTAATTAATGATTGGGGTGGACCCAGAAGTTTGAAAATAAAGTTTTTAGGAAAATTATTTGAACATGTCATTAAATTCGTTTTGACTGTTTGATTCCAAAAACGCAAACAGATCTCAATTCGGACCCGTTCGGGGGGGAAACCGCGTACCGCTCAGGTCAGATTTTACACGACGGAATAGAAATTAGGGAGATAACTCCCCATTTAATTACATCAAATCCCACGCCACCCACACCTCAAAACCATTCATTTTCCCTTACAATTAATACCCATTATTATCCTATTAATTTCCATTCAATATATTAGTCCCTTCCCTTCACCTCCTCCACCACATTTGTAACTCCCACACACACAACCCTCATCCTCCTTCACTTGTATTCGGCCAAGACAACAGCCAAGGGGGGAGTTTCCAGCGAGAAGACGAGGATGTAGAAGAGAAGGAGGGCTACGCGAGAAGTCGTTCATTCATTCATTCGTCCATTCATCGTTCATTGTCATCCATCCATTCAATTCACTTACATTTCATCAAACCATTTGTTTAGAGGTGAGTAGTTGTCCCCTCTAATTCTAGAACATTTAGTTATAATCCATGTCGTTATGTTTATAGGAATATCGTACGCAACCTACGTAGAATCTATGCATGTTCGTATGTTAGCCATCAAAACGTTCACTACATAAAGATCGTATATATTGGCTTAGGAATCACTAGGAATATATTCATAAATGTATATATTATTGTTCTAAAAAGAATCAAGGTGTTAAGTTTTCAAACGGATCAAAACAAAGCCGAAGTCGGAGGACTGTCCTCGGGACGGTCGACCGCCGCTACGGACGGTGGACCGTTCCCTTGGCCGTCCGACGGTCACCACCGTGACGGTCGACCGCCGGTCGCGACGGTGGACCGTTTGTGACCCAGACTCAGACCATAGCCCACGGTCGACCACCAGTAGGGTACGGTCGACCGTTCCGCATGCAAAATTTCGGGCAGTTTGTAGAACGAGTGATAACTTGGGTTTGGGTTGGTTCTTTTTATCCAGTTTTAGGAATTTTTTAATATTTTTAGAGTTTAATTTTTAGTAGTTTAGCTTAGTTTTATTTTAATTCTCATTTTTCCAATCTTTTATTTTTCTTTCATAAATAGTACTTTTTAATCACTTTTTTTTACAATTTATTTTTTTTCCTAACTCAAGTTATCAGATATCTTATTTTTTTGGAGAAAAGTGCAGTAGAAGACCCCAAATGCAGTTCAAGTTTGAAAGGAAGTGAATGAGCTTGGGTCGCAGCCCAAACCCAATACTAAAAGAGACCAGCCCAGCACCTCTTCCTCCTCGTCTCACGCACTCTCACTCACGGCAAAGGAAAAGAAACGGAGACTTCTTCTTCGCAAGAAGCCAATGCCAGATTGAAGTAACGCACATCTTCTCCAACGTCTCTCCATAAATCTCGTTCAAGCGCTCCAACGGTAGAAATTTGAAGGCCCTTTG